CCCTTCTTCCTTCCTTGATTCCTTTCTTCAATATATTCCTTCCTTCCCTCCTTCCTTCCTTCCTTCATCAATATCTTCCTTCATCAATATCTTCCTTCCTTTCTTCATCAATCCTTCCTTCCCTCCCTCCCTCCCTCCTTCCTTCCTTCCTTCTCATTCCCATCTCTTCCTTCCTTCCTTCCTTCCTCTCTCCCTCCCTGAACTTCCTCCCTCCCTCCATCTCTCCTTCCCTCCTTCCTTCCTCTCGCCCTCACTGAACTTCCTCCCTCCCTCTTCTATCTTCCTTCCTAATCTCCTCCCTCTTTTAATATATAAATTTTAAATCTGTTCTTAAATTATTGGGGTGTTTTAATTTGTCTGGGCCAAAATGATTTAATTTGATTTTAACTGGTTTTTTAAATTTTTGTATTTATGTATTTTATTGCTTGGCTGTTCACCGCCCTGAGTCCTTCGGGAGTAGGGCGGTATACAAATCAAATAAAACTAAACTAAACTTCCTTCCTCCTTCCTTCCTTCCTTCCTTCCTTCCTTCCTTCCTTCCTTCCTTCCTTCCTTTCTTCCTTCCTTCCTTCCTTCCTTCCTTCCTTCCTTCCTTCCTTCATCAATATCTTCCTTTCTTCCTCCCTCCATCTCTCCCCACAGAAAAAGCAGAAGGAGGAACTCAGCCCATCCTCCCTGTACCACAATCTTTCTTGATCTCCCCTTCTGCATTACGGGTAGTTCTCAACTTACAACCACAATTGAAACCAGAATTTTTGCTGTTGTTAAGCAAGCCGGTCATTAAAGTGAATCCTGGCTTCCCCCATTCTCTCTGCTTGTTGGACACCAGCTGGGAAGATCACAAATGGTGATCATAGGACCCTAGGATAACACAACTGTCCTAAATATACGTCAGTTGCCAAGCACCCAAATTTTGATCATCTGATCGTGGGGTTGCAACAACGGACCGAAATACGAAAAACCGGTCATAAGTGTGAGAACCGGTTGTAGGTCACCTTTTTTTTTTTTAATGCTGTTGTAACTTTAAACGATTAAAGGAATGCTTGTAAGGTTGTAGGACTGCCAGCAACAGGCTTATCTGGTACACAATAAAAAGCAGAGAAAAAGCTGTGAAAATATCTACAGACCCCTCGCATCCTGGACATAAACTGTTTCAACTCCTACCCTCAAAACGAGGCTATAGAGCACTGCACACCAGAACAACTAGACACAAGGAGAGTTTTTTCCCCAAACGCCATCACTCTGCTAAAGAAATAATTCCCTCAACACTGTCGGACTATTTACTAAGTCTGTAATACTATTAATCTTCTCATCGTTCCCATCACCCATCTCCTCCCACGTATGACTGCATGACTGTAAACCTGTTGCTGGTATCCTTAAGATTTATATTGACTGTTTCCTTATGACTTTCATTAAGTGTTGTACCTTATGATTCTTGATGAACGTATCTTTTCTTTTATGTACACCGAGAGTGTATGCACCAAGACAAATTCCTTGTATGTCCAGTCACACTTGGCCAATAAAGATTCTATTCTATTCTATTCTATTCTATTCTATTCTATTCTATTCTATTTTATTCTTATTTATACCCCATGACTATCATTAAGTGTTGTACCTTATGATTCTTGATGAACGTATCTTTTCTTTTATGTACACTGAGAGCATATGCACCAAGACAAATTCCTTGTATGTCCAGTCACACTTGGCCAATAAAGAATTCTATTCTATTCTATTCTATTCTATTCTATTCTATTCTATTCTATTCTATTCTATTCTATTCTATTCTAATTTGATGGGCTTGGAGGCACCTTCTTAGATCAGAGATTTTGCCCTTTTTTACCGATCTCAAGCTGAATTTGTCCACCAGAAAATAAATGGATTTATTGGCCTCTGTGTTTACAAGCCAACACCCACTCATGTAACAGGAGGTCTACGGAGTAGGCGAAGTGATGGACCTCCGGATGGGTTTGAATCACAATTCTCGTAATCGCTCAGCAGCTCTGCTGGAACTTGGAGTTTCACAACATCTGGAGCAAAACAAGCCGTCTCGAGTGAAAGCAAAGTAAAAGTGAAATTATCCCCAGTAATTCTTAGGAAAAGGTCCTCTCTGCCCCCCCCCCCCGCTCAGCTAACTCCATGGAAGAACGATGATGGCCTTTTATGACCCTTGTTTAAAACTCTGCCCTTGATGGCCAGTGGGTGTAAGCAATGCTCAGATGCCTAGGAGTAGTTTTAAAAAAATATGAGCTCTATTTATATGCCTGTGTGTGTGTGGCTGTGGATCTACGTGTACGAGAGAGAGGGGGGGAGGGAGGGAGGGAGAGAGAGAGAGAGAGAGAGAGAGAGAGAGAGAGAGAGAGAGAGAGAGAATAATAACTTTATTGTCATTGTACGTGTATACACAGTATACCCATACAACGAAATTCACTTAAAACCCAAAGACAAGGTCCAACACACATAACAATCCCCAAACACACCCCCACCCACCACAAATTCCCCA